CGATGGACTTCCAGTGCAATCTCAGGAACCAAGTGGCCATGTCAGAAAGCCGCCTGGTCTATCTGAGCAACCAAGGACAGTTGGCGAAGGTGGGCCGCAGAAGCCATCTACGTCGGGTGAGGGCGTCTACAGTGCACAGACCGGAGGCAATCTTGGAGAGCGTGATGTTGGTCAAGTGGACAGTCATAAGTCTGTTCAGGAGCCGTCCGGTGTCGACTTTCAGGCCGGAGGAACTTCGTTTGCTCAGAATGCGGACGGGCAGAACCGGTCTAAGGTCGTGGGTGACGAGGACGCCATGGTGGGACATCTGCATCTACTTGTGCAGGGCATGAGGCAGCTGCAGCAGCTGCAAATCTCGAAGAAGGATGCGTCAGAGACTGAGACGATGAAGGGCAACATCGAGTTGCCACCCATGCCAGAGCCTGGAGACGCGGCGGTGGAATTCAACGACTGGCTCTATGTGGCGGAACAGATGCTTGGCGCTCTCACAGACAGCGCGAGCACGTGGCTTAGCGAAAGCCTTCGGTGCGCCAGGGAAGCCTACGACCACTACCAGAGAGCATCAGCAATGGACCGGCTCACCATCGTGCCGGTGCTCACTGCCACGCTCAAGGACAAGAAGTGGTACAGACTGGAGCGGAGGGTTTTGACACTTTTGCTCAGTGCTATGCCCAGGAGCGTGAAGGAGGACACGATTACCCACAGGGTGGAGAATGTGACGTCGGTCCTCTACAGGCTGCATGTCCTTTATCAGCCAGGTGGGACGGCTGAACGAACGGCCATCCTTGGCCACCTCAGCGGTACCAGCGGCACCGAGGACCCAACAGAGGTGGTGGCGAAGCTTCGCAAATGGAGGCGATACCTGGCAAGGGCGGATGAAATGGGAATCGCGGCTCCGGACGCTAGCATATTGCTTAAGGGGCTTGATCTTACTCTTCAGAAGGTCCTTGAGAAGTTCCCGGAGGTGAAATTCAGGCTGGATCTGGCCCGGAACGATTTGAGATTGTCGTCGGCACCGACCCAGGAGGCAGTCCTCAAGTACTACCAGCACTCCCTCGCCGAACTCCAACAAGTCGCACCATCCCCCAAACGTCAAGCTGAAACTACGAAGTTGAAGGGTGCGGCTACAACAACAGGAGCAGGTACCGGTGGCTCGACTTCAACGCCAGGCTCCCCTACGAGATCCAAAGGACCATGCAAGTTCTTCACCTCGGACAATGGATGCAAGCGGGGAAGTTCGTGCCCTTATACACATGAGTTTACCTCCAAGTCTGAACGGAAGCAGAGGTGCTGGACTTGTGGCGCAACCAACCACAGGCAATCTGAGTGTCCTACTACTGGTGGTGGTGGAGGAGGAAAAGGAAAGGGGAAGCCGAGCAATGCGGCCCCCGCTTCGTCTGCATCCGCGACTACAACAACGAGCTCAACCCTTGCCAAGGCCCAGTCCGTGGACCCAGAGCAGCGAAGTACTATGAGCGCAACAGACAACAAAGACAACAATGGAGCAACGGCATCGACTACCAGCGGAACATCAACTACTACTAATGATGAAGCTTCGGCCCATCGAGAGGAGATGAGGCAGCTGTTACAGGAGGCCAACTCGATGCTAAGCAAGATCAAGTTAATGGGCATGAAAGTTGATGGCGTGGATTCGGCACGAGAGGACCTGGAGCTCTTCTTCCTTGCGGCAGGGGCGACTGATGAGAGGATGGCCCTATTGGACAGCGGCGCCTCACATCCCTTTCGGCAAGCTGTCAGTGAACTTGAACTACAACAAGCGAAGGACGTGTCAGTCGAACTTGCCGACGGCCAGAAGGTGGACCTCCTTCAGACCCGTACTGGGACGCTTCTCAACGATCGTGCCCTGGACCAATCGCCGATTGTTCCGTTGGGCAGCCTGGTACAACAGCTGGGCTGTACGGTGAATTGGTCCCGACGACAAGGCCTTAGGGTCAATCACCCCGTTCACGGGGACATTGCCGTGAGGATGCGCGGCAACTGCCCGATGATTGATGAGCTGGAGGCGTTGAAGCTCATTTCCGAGATCGAGGAGAAGAATCTGGCTCAACTTCGCGAAGCCACGGCAAAGGGACTTTGGAGCCAACTATCACCTACCAGTTCGACATGGGAGAACAACCTCGACAACTACGTGGCGACTGGAGAAAGGTCACAAGCTCTATCGGCCTTGATGGACCCAAATTTCCCTCTGATGCTGGGTACGGCTACCGATAGGTTCTCGTTTGTGGGCCCCACGGATTTGGACCTGAGCGACGATGCCGGCATCAACTACCTGAAGGCTCTTCCCGTGAACCGAAAAACCAGGCGCCGACTACATCAAACAAGATGGATAGTCCACCTTTACGATGGCAAGAACCAAGAGACGGCCACCTACTTGAGACGGTTGGAGTCTGAGACAACTACGGTGCTGGAGATTGACTTGCAGCGCTCAAAGATCTTCAACATGAAGGGCTGGAGCAATGTAATCCGAGCCCTCCTGTGGGCAGCCTGTCGAGGCCAGGTGGAGGGAGTGATCGGAGGACCCCCCCGTGATGATCAGGAAGAGCTGAAAAAGAAGTTGATGTACCTGTGGATGGTTGCTGAGCAAGGGGCCAAGAAGGACGGTCTACGCAAGCCTTTTCTGTTTATGGAGCTCCCCGAGAACCACAGCTGGTGGGCAGCAGAACCCTGGAAGAAGCTTAAGGATGAGTACCAGCTGTTCAACGTCAAGGTTGGCCAGGGTGACGACAAAGGGTTCTATGGGGCCACCAACATGTGCTTCTCCGGAAGTAAACCGTCCAGCAACAGATCGCCTTCGCAATGGACCGAGGCCCTGGTGAGTGAGATCAAGGAAGCAGCGGAGCAATGGTTCAAGCACCCGGACCAGTTGAGGATGGCACAGCTGTTGTGCGCAATGAATGGCAGTTTGGGCGAAATGAGTGAGGCCGAGTTGAAGAAATGGGCCAAACATGTCCGAAATGGCCACGTGCCATTCGACAAACGTTGCCGAACGTGCGTGTTCAACTCGGGCACCGGACGACCCCACCGACGCGTACTCAACCCGTCTGCCTTCACTCTTGGCGTGGACATTGCAGGACCCCTCCGTACCAGGGGTGTGGATGCTGATGGCAAGTACCGCTACGCCTTGATCGGCTCTTATTGTTTGCCAAAGGTTGAGGGTTACAAAGACATTGACATACCCGAAGAACTAGAAGATGATGGTGCCGGTATTGGCGAAGTTCTGGACGATGAGAGGAACTTCCTTGAGGAGGAGGAGACTATGGATCCTCCCAACTCCACCGAAGACCAGCACGATTTGGACCGCAGGAACGAGGACTACAAGAAGTTCTACAAGGAGGTGTACAAAGAAGTTGGCGACTCGATGGAGTATCAAAGCCTCCTCTATGTGATTCCCCTCAAGTCCAGGCTAAAAACGGATGTGAACACGGCTATGAGGAAGTTATACCTGAACCTACGACAAGAAGGGCATCCAGTTGTCCGCGTCCACTCCGACCGTGCCCGAGAGCTGAAGTCTGCGTCCCTTCGACAATGGTTGTATGAAAAGGACATATGGGTCACCACCGGTGAGTCGCAAGCCCCACAACAAAATGGACGCGCCGAAGCGGCCGTGAAGCTATTGAAGCGATATGCGAAAGTCCTACTCGATGCCAGTGGCCTACCACGAGAATGTTGGCCTTTGGCAATGTCCTACGCGGCGCACCGACAGCGACAACGAGCTCTTGGGCAACCTTGCAACGACCCCCCCTTTGGAGCCAAGGTCGCTGTGAAGTCGAAGGTTTTCGGTACTGGTGGGTCCTATGACCTGGATCCGAGATGGCGTGAGGGCAAGTTTGTTGGTCGCAGCTCTGATGTGACTAACGGATTGGTCGTCAGGTATGAAGACGGGAGCTTCGTGACGAGCTGCCATGTGAGACCAGGTTTGGTGGACGCAGATGCTATTGTGGAGCCAGAACCAGTTGAAGTGGAGTTACCCGCTCCCAGCAGAAGGCTCAGGGAGAAGGTTCGATTAGCAGCCTTCCAGGACCGCTATGAAGAGGTTGAGAACTATGCCCGGGAGATGATGGCAGCAGAAGCGTACCGGGAGGAGGATGTGTTGAACCTGTGGACAATGCTGAAGGAGCTGCCGAGACCGAGAAGAAGAGGTTTGAAAATGGCAGACATCGGGGAGAGGGCGGAGTCCTTTTACACCGGCAGCTATGTTCATGGAGGAGTTTGTGGGGTCATGAAGATGACACGGAGGTTGCCGAGCACTACAATGTACTTGGTGAGGGCGGCAAAGGAGCTCACGGGCATCAACGAGTTTGGTTGCGTGGCTATTGTGGAGAATGTTGGGATGAAGGCTCACAAAGAC